GATCTATCCTCTGCAATAGGAAATAGAGATAATAATCTCCATTTGAGATCTCTCTTTCTCTGAAAGATATATAGCTAGAAGAACGGAGGAACGTGCTGACACGGGGTTTTACGATTAAAAATTCGTGGATTATTATATAAACAGTTATGTAAATTCCACGTCTGGGATTGATCCGCGCCTCTTCCGAGACACCTTGTAGTTTGGGCCGGGCACCGAGCGTCCGTCGATGAATACGTCTGCGTGTTTTCAGCATGGAAACTCGGCACTGCACGAGGCATCATGGCGTGGTTACAGTCGGACCGTGGCGGTTCTGGCGAAGGCCCTCGGGACCCAACGGGCCCCACTGCACGCCAGGAATCTCGCCGGATTTGCACCGCTTCACCTTGCCTGTCAAAACGGCCATAATCAAAGCTGTCGAGAGCTCCTCCTAGCCGGCAGCAATCCCGATCTTCAGAACAACGTGAGCGATCTACCGATTCTTTTCCTTTTTTTTTCAATCCCTCTATCGCGCCTATCGGCGCGTGGATCGGAAGATAAGAGTAAAAAGCGAGGGATTTAGTGTTAATACTGTACGAAGCTAAACCTTTAGAACCAAAACAGAGACTGAATGTAGTGATATAGTCTTGTAAATTCGTTTCCATAGAAATATAGAGAGACATAATAATGCAAAATGGTAATAAATATGCAGAGAATAAAACGATAGTACATTTCTAATTATATGGAATATGATAAACAATTTAACAGCGATAATACAATTTTCAAGGATTATTTGTTTGTAACATGCAGGCGATAATATTTCGATGCAATTTTGATTATAGAAATAATCAAAAGTGTAAAAGAGAAAAGATATTTTTCTTTCTATAAGGTGCTACGCGCGAATTATATTTATTCTTCAAGAAATTGAATCTTTAATTTACTCATTTCAGTATGGCGATACTCCGCTTCATACTTCGGCACGTTATGGCCATGCCGGCGTAATGCGTATACTAATCTCAGCTCTGTGCAAGGTGTCAGATCAAAACAAAGTAAGTATGAGATTTTTTATTAAATAATATATTTTTCGTTGCTCCTTACAAATGTTGCTCATCACGGATTGCAATTCTTTTATCGTAATATTGTTCTTATTATCATTTTTCTTTATGCTCTTTCTCTATGCCTTTTCAAGTTGCTCAATAAGAACTTTTAAGTTTTATTGTATATAAAAGTGTCACAATTTTGTTAGTTGTACAACGTGTTATTTATTCTCTGCACCACTTGTTTGTCCCTTCTAGAATGGTGACACCGCTTTGCACATAGCGGCAGCTATGGGTCGCCGGAAATTGACGCGCATTCTCCTGGAAGCCGGTTGCGATCGAAGTCTGCGGAATAAACAAGGTGAAACGGCGAAGGATATTGCCCGTCGTAAGAATCATGCCGAAATCTTGGAAATTATTTCCAAGGCACGCGGTAAAAGCCGGACGCGCAGCAAAAGCCGCGAGGGCGACTCGATAGATGGCAAAATAGGCGACGGTGAGGATAAAGTTTAATTATTAAATCATTATAGAATAGATTGTTAATGATTGCGTGTTGCAAAGAATCTGGTTCGCATCAAGTATAGCTTGTACGAAATTACCGACTAACTATTTCATATATTTTATTGCTTCGCTAATTTTCCAGGTAAGGCAATGAAGTCGGATAAAAAGCGAGAAAAGACCGGAAGTGGCACCGGGAGCGGTGGCGGCGGGAGCAGCTCGAAGAAAGACCGGAAGAAGTATAAATCCAACAGCAAGCAGCACAAAGTCCGGTTTGAAAAAGCTATCATGGGCCGGCAATGGTCGCCCTATGGCTGCCATTACTATCCGGATCCGGAAGCGTTCCCTCAACCTCGTCTAGATTCGCTGCCCTCTGACCCTTTAGGGCGGGGAGAGCAGTACTATTTGGATCTGGCGGGTAATATCAGAAAGGGTCCAGTCGGCGTCGGATATACGTGTTATTGCGCCCCATTTTTCCGACATATGGAAGCGAAGCTGGAACGGGACAAGGCCGAGTTGAAAGCACACATCGATCAGGCTCACGAGAAGCTGGACCTGAAAGTGGCCAATCTGGAGAGGAGGACCAGGGGACAAATCTCGGAGCTGACTAGGTGCGTTCAGGAGGAGCGCTCCAGGTGCGACGAGAGGTATTCGCATCTTCAGCAACGTCTGCAACGAGGTGGGAGAGGTAGATATAGCGAGAGACCAGCGAAAACCAATTACAATCAGTCGGAGGTGGTACTACCGACGAGAACAAGATCGCTGGAGGATCTGTTGGATGACCGACCGCAGGATCGCAGCTTCGAGATTCCCGGAGAAACGCCAGTTCATCGTGGAAGTCTAGATGATCTCGATATACCGGCTATACCTAGACTCAGTACGTCCATGAGAGACCTGCCTTCGGGATCTGGAGTAGTTAAATCAGCGCTCAGAGTGCTGGACATCCCACCGAAATTGAACGAAACGTTCGACGGAGCCATCAGGCACGGTGGAACCTCGTCCTTAGACATAGCGCCGACAGACTCAGTTCCTGTGAAGGGGAGACGTCAACAAAGAGTAAGATTGAACTATATTACCGTTCGTTGTAATAATTACTGCTTTTTCATGAAATAAATAATAAAACAATAATTGTACATTAATGGTTTAGTTCTGTTAGAATAAAAAGACCCTGTAACAATGAAAATTTCCTTTTATAATTTATTAATTATCTTTGAAGTAAAATATATATTAGATAAATCCATTTGTCTCTTGTTCTTAAGAGTTGCGTGTCGTATGAAATGCACGGCATGAACATGTCCGTGGATGAAAATAAGATCCAGAAGATTAGCGACGGGAATATGACGGAGTGGAACGGTCGCCGCAGCGTCCACGAGATGATCAAGCGGTTTCAGCAAGTACCTGATATGCATAATGGTTGGCGAAGAATTCACTCCGGAGGCAGTGAACAGGCCGGTCTGGATGAACATACCAAGTGCTCGCAAAATCAGAGGGTACATTCTCAAGGTGATGTAACGTTTCCTGAATAACGAACTACGTTAGAGTTAACGAGGTCATAAAATTGAGCATAGATCGGTACAGCTGCGAGAAAAAAATAATTTACCGTGATTTAATTTAAAAAATAAATATAAAATGTTTTTTTTTAACACATGTCGACTTTTCACGCTGCTCTTGATGCGCAATTTGATTCGACGCATTCCTGATTCAAATAATCTATCCTAATCGACATTAATGTCGCAGATAACGAAAGCGAGAGCAGCGAAGGGGAAGATGACGACGTTGAACAATCGAAAACGTACAAAGAGATGAACTGTAGGAAGGCCATTTCCAAAGACGTGCCTTACGACAGTATCGCGAGAATGCCGTACAGATCACGTAACCCTGTGTACAGTCCGACACCGCCTCTGCACGACACCCATAATGATTCTGGATACAGCACCCGCATGTACGGTTCTAGCAAAGGCGCGTCGCCCTCGTTGTCAGGTAAATATAAAAAGACAATGCAGCAGTAGTTTAGATAAGCGATAAAACGTATATCTATCTCAAACATTCATTTAACAGATTGGTTCTAAATTGATAAAAATTTCTAAATTAATTGGAATTTTTTCTTGTTATTTAAGATTGATACATCTACGCTCTTTCTAAAACAAAAACACAATACTACATGGAATATCGTTTCTGTTTCATCTCTGTGCAGGTCAACTGGAATGTGACGTGATCTTGTCACCTTCGACAGGATCATTCACGAGTGGGGAACAACTCGCTGCCTTATTGGAACAACCAAGGCGACACGATCTAACGGTTTACGAGCGAAATGCCGACAACGTCGTCATTAATATCGGTACTGCCAGTTTGGTTTAGATGAGAGACTGTTATAGCTTCAATCGAAAGGAACGTAACTTTTGAAACATTAGTTGTACGCGTCACACTGTACATAATGCATAACGCCGTTCCAGAAATGTTGAAGTAATGATATCGTTTTACTGTTAATATCGACACTATATGAGTGTCATATCCGTTCGCGTTGCCATGACATATTATTCCACAAAAATAAAAATAAACGCTAAACAAAGAGCAATAATATTTATTGTTTGTATATTATATATGCAAATTGTACATGTATAGGTAGATATATGTATGAGTGATTATTAAAACAATTGAGAAAATTAACTTGATTGCTGCTGCAGGTCATTCTTCCTAGAATCTGCAAGTTTTTACTAAAGTCCTTACACACGTAGTTTACTGTAAATTATAACAAAACAAATTATAAATATTAATTATTTATCGAGGCGTTAATATAACATTTTCACTAATAATGTAACTAATTCACAATTATTATTTTAGAATTTTCAATCAATGCAAACACTAATTAATTAGCAGTGACATAAGTCGGAATTGAAACAGAAGTATTTATGTATTGTAATAAAATGGGTATACAAAGTTTAATAACAAAAAACGAATAATAATGAGATGAGATTACAAATATTCACGCAATAGATAAAATATTTAAAAATATTTACGAATACTTACAATAGTACATTTAAAGATATATATCTACAATCAAAATAGAAAAAAATTATTAGTAATAATAATATATTCAGTCGATATATACATGTTAGAATTTTACATAATAAAGTAAGAGTAGTTATTATGTTGAATTATGTTGAAAAAAATTAATTTGTAGCATTTTCTGGCCAGTAATTTAATATTATTAGTTTTTCTATCGAGATAGGTATCTTTATACTTAATCTGAAAGTAAATAAATTTTTTTAACAAGAAAGTATCAGATATATAATTCATCGTTTGTCCATGCCCGCCACATATCAAAGTCCTGAAATACTTGTATTATACGGTCGAATACAAGAGCTTTTGCATCAATGGCCCATAGGAAATCGAAATGAGTCAACATTTTATACGGATTTTCCTCCAGCAGAATAACGTTCGGCTGCAGATGCTTATATGTCTCGAGGACATTCTGAGAAAAGAGAATATGAGAAACAATAAAATTAATAATAATAATAATTTGAGAAATATAAGCAATTATCTCTTAAAAGCCGTTTTCGGCTTACATACATGTATATACATAAATAATAATATGAACTGAAGAAATAAGAGAGGGGAAGAAAGAAAAGAGAAGAAGAGAGAATGAGAGGATGGAAGAGAGAGAAAGAGAAGGTGGAAGGAAGAAAGCAGAAAAAGATATTTCGTATTACATTATAAAAAGGAAATCATACGATTTAATTAAAAAATTCGAGGTCATCTTAAATTATTTTTAAAGAAATTATATTTTTGATCTTTTTATCTAAATGCAAGTAAATAGCTCGTATGACGTAGATAAAGTTTTGTCTACGTATAACTTATAAAATTTTACTTTCTTTCTCTTTGATGTATATTTTTTAGTCAAATGTTGTTTTTATATATAAGAATCAAAAGTGAGCTTACCGTTTTTAAAGCAAGTAAATCATTAGCGCCGTAAAATAAAGCCAAGGGCGCAGTAACTTTTTCAAGATTATACGGTAGGGGTGTTGGTTGCCCGTAGTGCTTGTAATTACCGAAGTATCCATAATCAAAGGTTTGAAATTTCTCTGCAGCAATCAATATAAATTATTTCACATAAATGTGTAATTAAAATGATATTTGCAAAAAAGTAAAAATTTTAATTTTTATTTAGAGAAACGTAAAGTGATTACGTCGTGAATAATAATGTGCTTAAAAGAATCACTACTGGGATAGTTATTTTATTATTAATAAAGATAATAATAAGATTTTAGATTCGATTTAACCCAACATCTCTTTCTTCATAATTAACATAATATATTATATTGTTATATTTCTGAAGGGGGGAGGAATACTCACGTGTAATTATATTTTGGTAAAGATGATATGCCGTGTTCACGGAAGCGCCGCTCGGATAATACGATAATATTTCCGGTAATACTGTCTGTAACGAGTGACTTTATTAAAAACAATTTTGTTGTATATAAAAAAAATAGTGCTAAATTAGAGATATATAATGTACAGTGTTAAGTTGTGCTGGACCGGATCCGGAGAAGAGAAATAATATTGCAATGCAGATAGGTTGGGTAATTGCTCCATCTCTGCACAGTGTTCTTCCAATCGTGATGGTTGTTGATGATAAGGAACCTAATTCATATATTTCGTTGAAATCGAGAAATTCCTAATAAACAAATATAAATGTATGTATAAAATTTGTACTTTATTTAAAACACGATCGATCTTGATATCACTTTACCTTAAACTTTGGTATTTTAGGACGAATATGTTCCATTGCGGGAGATAATTCTTTCCAATAGGCTACCGGAGCAAGAAGAATACCTAATTTTATTTTTGCATTGTATTCGGGTTTCATAGATAGTAAAACAAATAATACGGTAGTTCCCATCGAATGACCGACGTAGCGTAAAGTCTTTTGTTTTGTGTGACTGAGTACGTAATCGATCATAGATGGTAGATCTCTAGTTCCTATCTCGTGATAGCTAAACAATAAAATTAAATATTACTTTCGTTTTTACTACCTTTTAAGCCTGATCTACAATGTGCTCTTTGCTTCCTGTTTTTTGCTCTTAACCTGTTTGCGACTATCCCGTATTTCGCAATTGCATCGCGTAACGCGATGTTTTTTGTTCTCTGTCGCCTAAGATAAAAATTGACGAACTTCAGAAGAGACAAGAAACATCACGTTACGCGACGGAATTGCGAAATACGAGATAGTCGCAAAAAGGTTAAGAGCAAAAAATAGAAAGCAAAGAGCACATTGTAGATCAGCCTTTAATATTGCAAAAGAAACAAATATTCTTTTAGTTACAAATTTTTCAATTCAATTAGAATAAATTTTGTCTTAATAAGAATATCGAGATATTTCATGTATCTATATAAATATGTGTACAATATTATAAATCTTTATATTTTTTATTATGGAAAAATTGATTTTAATTAAAAATAGGTGAAATCTGGCTTAAATTTAATATAATTAAAGAAACAAAAGAAATAAATATAAATAATTGAAAGTTATTTAAATAAACAAAAAAGTTGAAATTAATGAAAAATATTTCTTTAAAATGGTTCTTATATATAAAATAAAATTTTACCTAAATTGCCAAAAGTCTCTATTTCGTGGAGACAGTTTTACATGTGATCTGCAATAAGAATTTCCCCTGATATTTCCAACCCATACATCATATCCTTGATCAGCTAATAAAAATGCTATAACACAAAATAATAATGCATAATTATCTTCTCTTATCATTTTAATAGTCATACTTTCGGATAAAAACGTAATTGCTTTTTTTTCCCTCAGGGTATATATCAATATTAGAGAATTTGAGTCGCCAGTGAATAATTAAAATTAACAGAGATATTGCGAGCGATCCAACTGGCCAAATTTTATTGATTTACAACGCTACGTTTCGACCGTGGA